TCCCTGCTCTGGGGCGGCCAGGGCAGGGTGGGGGCGGGAGCGCCCGCTGTGGGGCTGGGCACGGGTGGGGGCGGAGCCGTTCCCTGCCCTCCTGGAGCTGCCATTCCAGTGGTGGGAAAGAATAAAAACGTAAACACGACAAAGCATTCGGTGGAGGAAGTATCCGAAAACACAGAGCAGGCGAGGCTGGAGTGACCAGCCACAGGCAGCCTGCCCCACCCCGCCTCTCCTCCCCGACCGCCCAGCAGAGGGGGCGGTGAGCAAGGCTCAGATCCCCTCTCCCAGTCTGTGGGACGCGGTGGGACTGATGCTAAGCACGCGCACTCGGCCCACTCGCCCCGGACCACCACCTCTCCCCGGGAACGCAGGGCTCCCCCAGGACCCGCAGGCAGAGCACTTGAGCTCGGGCCCAGCTGTCCCGGGATGAGGGAGGGAACCAGGCGTGGGGGTGCCTGTGATGTGGTCTGGGAGGGACTGCCGGTGTGTCCTTATGAGCGGAAGCTCCCTGCAGCACCCCAGGGAGGCGGGGGCGGGGGCGGGGCCCTGAGGCCTGCAGGGCCGCTCTACCACATGCAGGCTCCTGTCCCAGCAGCCCTGCACGGGACCAGCAGAGCTGTACTTGGGACACCCTTCCTCACCGGCTAGGACTCAAATACAGCTCTGCCGGCTACCAGCTGAGGCCCCAGCCCACTCTTGCCCACACCGTGCTATCCACAGTGCCCTGCCCAGACTGCAGGATCCCAGAGGAGGACCTGTCTTCTGCCTCCACTCCCCACTCGCCCAGATTCAGAACACGGATGGACGCTCAGTCACCTTTACTCCACTGTCCACAGGGGTCCAAGCCCTGTGGAGAATCTGCCCAGAGCACCAACACAAGGCAGGAGAATGGGGGTGCCCCATGCAGCCCGGCTCTGCCTGAGGACCCTGCCAGCCACCAGCTCACTGGTCCCCCAGCTGCTCTGCCAACTCTACCTGCAGGGTGCTTGTGCCCAGGCGCAGGCCCTGAAGGCAGGTGACAGCCCGCTCGGCCTCGGCCAGGTCCCTATAGCTGAGAAGCGCAGGCCGCCGTGGGCCCAGCCAGGTGAGCCGCAGGGGTGCGGCCCCACGCTCACGGAGGGCTCTCTTCAGTTCACTGACACGGGCGCCTGCTGGGAGGTTTGTGATGTGGACGGTGACGGCAGGTGGTGCCCTGGCATTAGGGGAGCCCTCCCTGTGATGGTGGCCGTGAGCTGCTGGCACAGGGCCCTCCAGGGGCCGGACCGCATCCTGGGACCTCCGCACAGTGCTTGAGAGGGCCGTGTGCTTGCTGCCGGCCTCCTGGAGGCATCGCTGCTCACCCTGAAGGCTTACGTCCTTCCCTGCCTGCTGCTGTCTCTGGTGGAGGGTTCTCAGAACTGGGATTCTCTCCAGCATCTCAGGGCCGACCTGAAAGAAGAGAGCAGAGCCTGCTGTTTCCGGTCCCCGGCTGGAAGCTGCCACCGGCCACCGGCTACACAGGCTGGCGCAGAGGGTCTGGGCCTCGGACATGCATCTGATTCATGGAGGTGACGCTTGGGGCCCAGTGTGGGCTGGGCAGTGGGACTCCCATGACCATGAGCGTGAAGCTGTGACCCTGGTTTCAGTGAGGCCTGGAGTCACTGTGCTGCTTGGGACGGTGGGTCACCTACTCCCACACCCTGCCTCCCGACACCTATGCCTGGGCTGAGGTGGGATGAGTCTCCTCCTCCCCTCCCCTCTCCATGAGGGAGCGTGTCAAGGCCCACGAGCAGTCCTGGCCAACAGTGCAGAAGCCACCTCTGAGAGCACTGTCCAGCCACGGGCCCTCCAGTGACAGAGTGACACAAACACACCTTCCCTCTCAGTCGCTAGAAGTCTGACTTGTGGGCTGCCTAGTCCCAGCCATCCACAGTCATCTCCTGGAACCTCCACAAGGAGGCAGAAGGAGGGGCTGGCAGCAGGCTGTGCCTTGCCTTCAGGGACAGTCTCAACTAGCTGATCCCACTTGAACCCACTGGACCTGGCCTGATACTGCCTCCCCCTGGGGTCATGCCTGCACTGGGGGGCTGCATGGGTGAGACTAGGCAGGGATGCCTGAACACTGAGGCCTGGGAAGAAGTGGTAGCAGGAAACACTGTCTGGTGGCACGTTGCCTACGTGGAGAGGTCTTCACAGTGGACGGGCACGCCTTGCAGGACAACCACTCATGTCCAAAGTGAGGCTTTTTTGTTTTCTTTTGGTGACAGCAACAAAGCTGAAGGTAGGTCCCTCCCATCGTCCACTGGCTCTGGGTGGAGAGGTCTTCCCGACGAGGAAGCATCTTTGCATAGTTCCCCTGCTGCGTGTGGTTTTTGACTTCGAGGAGCCACCTGAGCTAAGCCCGCTGAGCAGTGACAGGACCCTCGCGTGCAGCAGACAACCCGACTCCCACACACGACGAGACTCCCACACACGACGAGACTCCCACACATGACAAGACTCCCACACACGACGAGCCGCGGCGTCTGGCTGTTTCTCCTGGCTGGTGGTTCAGAACGTTTGTCTCTTGTTGTCAATATCAACGTGCAGTGAGAGAGTGCGCCTGGTGGTCAGACAGTTGTTTCTGCCATTAACCACTTTAGGCCCAAACGGAGATGCCCGCTAGTCCCTCTTCACAGAAGCACCCAGATGTCACCTGTTTAAAACTATACACTCTGTTTGAAGATTATATATTAAAAAATCTCTCAAGGACTTCCGGTAAGATGGAGGAACAGGCAGACAAGTGACACAGGCCCCTTCAACAAAGAAAAGAAAAACCAATGGACAGAGATACAGAAGATAATCCTGGAGCCCTGAGCTTTTAAAGAAACTATACAGAAGTGGGTTAGGCACCAACTGAACGAAAACAGTGAGTACAGCGACGGTCAGAGCTGCGGACTGTCAGCTACTCTGACGGGACCAACAGCCTGAGTATTTCCAAGTGGTGTTGGGACCTGAGAATTGACCTAAAGATCAGGCGCGGTCACCAAGAGCTGCAGGATGACTGCGCTGGTGGCGTATGACTAGGAAGGGAAACAGCAAGGAGGGAGACAACCCGAGCTGTTGACTTTCCGCTGTCTGGAGGGTGAAGCCATTCTGAATGTTTACAAGTGGTGGCCATTTTTGATATTTAAAGTGACCAAGGGTGAAGCCATTTTTAATCTTTATAAGTGGCAGCCACTTTGAATTTTAAAGTGATAGCATTCTCATTCAGATTCCAGAGACCTAAGAATAAGCTCTTCTTGCCAAGGTTGGCAGGGACATACAAGAGGCTGGCAACAGGAAAGGAGACAGGTGGTAAGTGTAAAAGTGCTGTCTACTAGTGAATAGAGGAGCACAGCACAGTACCCTGCTTGTGTAGCTAACATACAAACAAAGCAAAGCAAACGAAAATTGTGGGCAAGTTACTCCAACATATAATCACCAGTTAAATATAAACAAAAACGTCACAATGCCTTGGAGACAACAGAGCATCACACAAAGAAACAAGATAAAGCAGGAGAAACAAGGGACCAGGATACAGACCCAAAACACATCCCTGAGGAAGATGCAGCATTGGAACTCCCTGATAAGGAATTCAAAAGAATTATATTTAGGTACCTTCAAAGGATTGAGATACAGATCGAGGAAAACACAGACAAAACCCTGGAAGAATTTCGGAAGAAAATATGAGAACAAAATGACAAAATAAAAAATTAGAAATGATTCAAATCTACATATAGAAATCTAGAAGATTAATACCAAATATATAGAAATAGATAAGACATTGAATGGGCAAAGGGGTAGAAATGAAATAGAAGACAGAATTAATGACATTGAAGACAAATACCTGAATACTTCTTTGGAAAGGAATCAATCAGAAAAAAGATCAAAACAAAATGAAGAAAGCCTAAGGTTCATGTGGGATACCATCAAAAGAAATAACCTATGAGTCATTGGAATTCCAGAACA